AATGCTAAATACTAAAATTAGTTAGTGGTACAATCAAGTACATAGGTACACAAACATTGGTAAATTTCTGTCTCTCTGTTCATACACTTCTATGCTTTTATCACTGTAATTTCACTGCACAACACTGCACTTTTTAACGTATTTCTTCACTTGCTTCGCCCTTGGCTGCTTATCATTTCTGCCTAGATTGTTACCTGGCCACCGCTAAGAGACCAATTTACACCTTTTATTTAAAGTTAATCCTGTGCCCGTCCTTTTAACTGGACGTAAACTTAATATCCTACCTTCTCTTTCTCTCCCTCTCTCTCTGTCTGTTTTTCTCTCTTTTTTTTTATGTTCCCTTTCAGGTCTGGTTTAGTGACCTTTCTTTCAGTTTAGGCTGAATTCTGACCTGCATTCTTTTCCCCTAGTTTCTCTACACTCTTTCAGTTTCACTCCCTTACAATAAAGCTTTACTTAGACTAACTTGTTTACAATGTTGATATACAATCACTCACTCATTCACACAGGCGCTCTGTCCTTAGTTATTCTGTTAGTGCAATGCCTTCTCACTCTTTCAAATTTTAATTTGTTAGTGGGTAACTGAATCCTCTGCTTGCGATTACAGTTTGCTTACTTTCATCCAAGAAATCCCCAAATTTCTAGTTAAGTGTTACACAATTTTTTTTTTCGCGAACTCTACTTTCTTCAATCGACATTCAAGAGTTTGTCTAGACATTTGTTGACTGCCTCTCGTCAAGTCTGCCAATAACTATCCAGATGAACCAGATGTTCTCCCTAGGACCTTGGGTGCAACAGAATGACTTCTATGTAGAAAACAACATATCCCTCGGTTCCACCACCTAATGCTAATTTCAGTGCTCGGATAAAAGCCGGCAAGGAATTCCTAAAACCGTATGGGACTCTCTTAAACTGGTAAACTGTGGAGTCGAATAAGAAAGCAGTGTACTTCCTTGAATCCTTATCTAATTCTACCTGAAGATAGGCGGAGCTGAGATCTAGTGACGTCATATATCTGGCGCCGTCGAATTTCTGCAACAACTCATGCAATGGAGGCGTACGTTCTCTATCTGGCACTGTATTCTGGTTGATTTTTCGGGCGTCTAGACAAATTCTAATCTTCTTCCCTTCTCGCTGAACTATGGTCAGAGGGTTTAAGAAGGGTGAGCTACTAGCTTCCAAGATGCCGTCCTTTAACATCTGCTCTATTTGCAGTCTGACTGCTGGTCTCAGGGCAAAGGCAATGGGTCTGTTGTACCCAACTATAGGCCTGTCAGCTTCCACTTGAAATTTGTAGCTAAATAAATTACAAACTCCGGGTTTAGACGTGAAGCTGCCTATATACTTTACTAATACCTTATATAATTCCTTTTTCTGTATGATATTAATGTTAGCAACCTGCTCTATCAAGGCGGATAAGTCGGGCTTCAGCAGCGACCTCGGGTCAGAAAAATCCTGTTCGGGAGTAGGTACGTGGATTCGGGTTGGCGGTTCACTCTCCACACGACTTAGCAGTAACTCTTTATTTCGGGCGGCGTCCTTATGATAACAGCCATCACAGCGGCTTTCTGCTTCTGCAGTTGTATATCGATTCTGACTCATCTCATTACAACAAATTCGGTCGCTCTCGGCGCCGTTAATCAGGGTACTACTGCCCTCTTTCTCATTAAAACTACTACAAAATTCTTCAACATTAATCGGACCGCTCGCGCCCCTTTCCCTCTCTGAGCT